GGAGTCTCAAAGTATGCAGTGTGTTTACTGTACAGTTCATGGGCATGTTTTCAGTAAGCTCATCTTTCCTTGAGTAACTTCAGTCTTTTGGCAAACAATTTTTGCATTATTGGCTGTAAAATGAACGAATCTCAAAATGCATCGAGGTGAATGAACTCTGAAATCAAAAGTAAAACTCAAAGCAATTCTAATGTAAACGCACAGGTTAAGGTGCTCATGAGGCCCTACATGCATTTGTTTTACTTGGATGTTTTGATGGCAGACTAAGTTTGACATTCTTGATGGATTTCCAGAAGTTGAATCATGATTGCGTGTTTGCAAGAATGGCTGATCAGTGCATCTGCATTACGCTGCTCATTGATGCCTTCTGGAGCAAGCTAATTATCTAATGGGCTAATAATGACCCAGAGGAAGCGCTCCCTCTCAAGAGTCTCTTGACTGCTGTAGTGGATAGTCGGTTGTATTTAGTTAATGACCTGGCTGGTCTGTGGGTCAGAGCAGGCTTTGGCAGAGGGCAACACCGGGCATTCTGCCGAATAACATTTTGCTCATGTCACTTTTTTATTTTTTTTATTTGGTTGTATAATATTTGAGACTTGTGCTTGTCTCGCTCTCCCGGGAAGATCCGTTTAGCCTCATCACTTAGTTTGATGGAGCCACGCGGGCAAAAAGGTCCACTTCATAACCTCGCTTGAGTCATGAGGTTTTGTTCACAGACCACCAGAAGTGGGGAGGGAACACTTGCACGCATTCATGCACATTCCTGCCAGGGTTTTTTTTTTGTTTTTTTTGTTGCTCTCCCTCTGGTGCAGCAGGAGGTACCAGATGCTGAAGGCCATCATGTAACTGAGCCATGATGTTTGTGATTTGGCCAGATTATGAAATGACTGCCGAAAAGTAAAAAAAAAAAAAAGATAAAAAATGTCCGGCATGCTCTGCCACTAATGTCTCGTATCGAGATTGGTTATGGGGATTTTTGTACATAAGGCAAGGATTGTGAGAAAATGTTTACTTTACCTTATGAAGCAACGTTAAAAACAAAATAGAGCTGAAAAAAAACTGATTTATCTCAAAATTGACCATTTACTACCCGACCACTTCATTCATAACTCTTAAACTAATCATTGCATTTACATCTGTCTTGGTCATATTTAATCATTCCAGCTTACTATATTTAAAGTCATCAGCTGCTCTTGTATGAAGCAAATGGCTCTTTCAGTGGGGTTTCTTTGGAAGAGGTGATCTTAAAATTAAAGCGTTTAACGTCATTCAATTAATGTGGCTGCATTTTAAACGGTGACGTTTTTGGTGTTGACCAGGTTGATTTGCTTAACCTTTTTGCCCGTTATCCATGTCTACTGAGCCTTTTTGCAGCAGACATAAAATGTTTCGAGGCTATGACTCTAGTTATTGCTCCAAAGGAGGAAACGCAAACATTTCTTTAAAAGAAGTCTCCCATTGCAAAGATCTGGCTTGTGGTAAAAGAACAGCTCAATTTATTTTAGTCTGATCCCTCTACTGTACATCAAACTGCAGTTGGAATCAACAAACACGTTTTATCCTCTTAAAGATATCCTAATTGATACGGTTCTCCCTGAGGTGTGCTTTCCTCTCGCAAATTAGATTAGGGGTTTCTATTGCATTACACCAGCTGGAGCAATAAATTCCTCTCATGACGCCATTTAAGAAATCTTAAAACTGATGGTATGCATTATGGATTTATAAATGAATAGGCGATTTTAACAACTTTGAAACATTTATTGCCCATCTGTCGAAATGAATCTGAAGGACTTGCAGTTTTTAATCACAAAGCATTAATGAATTATTACCATTAATGCTTTGTGGCACAGAATGAAGATGGTATATTTAACACATTCATCAGTGTAGTACATGTGGACATCCTAAAAGCTGCAAGTTGTAATCGAGTCTTGGACCTTAATCAGCTCTATTCTTAAAAAAAAAAAAGGGTTACTCTTATGCAGTCTATTAAAATTTTATGTTGTGTGGGACTTGAAATATAAATCAAACGATATTAAAAACTTTAATTCTTTTTACAGCTGATTAAAACTTGACTGGTTTGTTGCACGTTTATAATCCTAACGGGGACGCTTCCTGTTAATTTCTTGGTGTCAAATGTTTTGATTTGCCTCGGATTGTGTGCACACCATGTCCTGTCCTTGTGAGGGAATTGGCTGTGAAAGCAATGTTCATGTCTGGTTTGACCTCTGCTGGCAGCAGACGGTGGCGAACCCCACAGACGCTGTCTGATTGAATGTTTATGAGGCTGAGCGCTGACCTCCCGCCTGCCTGCCATCGCTGCGCAGTCTTAGCGCTTGCACCCTTTTTTTAAATTTTATTTTTAGGTTCACCTTTCTGCTGTCATTCAGTGATTACAGCGGCAAGCCGGGATTGGGTAAAGCTTTCAGCTGGCTAACCTATAGGCACGCTGGAATCCCAAATGAACATGTAGGGAGGATAAATCAACTCTTGTTTTTTTTTTTTTTTTTGCATGCCGTTTTAATCTAAAATGCATGTTTAGAAGGCTATTTGCTACTTATAAATCCTGTAATTGATTTAGCAGGCAGCCATCTGACACTTCAGTAAATAAACCTGTCGGATATGAAAAGATGTAAAGCTGTGGGCACAATCAATACTGTTGTAAGATCCATGTTGGTGCCCTGGTACTTCATTACAAATTAAAATGTGCATGTTTGTACTGAGATTTTTTTTTTTTTCTTGGACTTTTAGTGTCGGCACTTGTAAGTGCACATTAATTTAAAGTTGATGTTTGAGATGGGAATTGGTGTACATTTCTGCCATGATTTTAATTTTGTGATGAAGTGGATGTTTGACGCTACATGGATCTGTCAGTGCAGCATTGGAAAGCGGTAAATCCCGTTTCATGTCACAGTACTTCACTGATGCAGAAATGGATGCAGAGGCTCCCCTTTACAGCACCATACACCGGGGCCCCAAATGTGGTGGTTTTCAGTTTAATTCATTTATGCATCTTTTCTTCCTAAACATTTTTGAGTCATGCGCATTTGACTCTATGGCCAGATGACTTGAGTAGGAATGTCGTTCCTGTTACACCAGACACAAAGCGCTTTGTGATCGAATTCAAGGGGTTTTGAATACATTTTATTTTACAGGATTTAATGCAACACATCTACTCATAATTGTGCAGAGTAATTTAAGTGGAAACAAAAGGAATTCCTTTCCCCCCCCCCCCCCCAAGAATAAAACTCAAACAGCATTTTATTTTCAGACTTGACTGTAAATGTTGTAGAATCACTAGTTGTATCAAAGTGTTAGAGATTTTGTTTGTCCATCCTCTTTTAGATTAGATCAAGAAAGATGATTTTTAAAGTGTTCCATCGCTGCTCTGGCTGTAGGTTCAGGGTCGTCATCCTGCTGGAAGGTGAACCTCCATCAGTCTTATACCTTCTGGAGCCTCGGAGTTTTCATTTTTGATCTAGTTCCACTTTTTTTGGAGAAAAGCATCCCTGCATGACGCTGCCACCTCCATGCTGGACATGATGCAGACGGGGTGGATCCTGCTTTATACTTGATGTTTTATCTCCCAGAATGTTTCACTAATGCTCCAACAAAGCCCAGAGGCTCACATAACAGGGGCCTTTGGAGTTTAAATTTAAGATGGTGGGCTTACTTGCGCATTAGCTGACTTTTATAGGCAATTGTTTGCGCTGGATTTGGCAGATATCATTCTGGATTTCCACTTGTATTAAAAAAAAAGTAAAACTATGTATCCTTTTTACTTGTATTTTGTTGGCCTGCTCCAGTAAGCATTGAAGTTGACAAAATGTGGTTGGAAGGAAACAGGTTTTGAAGCATTAACTATTGCTGGCATGCACCCTGGCTGTTAATTGACAACCTGCTGAAAGCGCAAACGATTTCATTCTGAGATTTGATACCATATGGAGCTCACTGGGTGAAAGCCACCAAGTCTGAATCTGATGTAGGCATATGGTTCTCGCTGGCAGCTCGTCTGCTTTACTTGGAAACTTCAGTCCACAACACTTAATATCTTTGCTTTTATTTCAGGTTAATCTAAAATAAATCGAACATGGCTGCAAGGTCCAGGTTCTGCATAGGAATATTGGCTTTTCAGATTAGTTGGCACGTCACCGGAATCTGTTCCAGTACAAAAAACCCAAACCACCAGTCAGTAAATAGTTGCCACTTGTAAAATACTTTGAAATGGATTCGTCAGTCTCTGTCCCGATCATAACACTGTCCTTTCAAAAAAAAAAAAAAAGCTCTTTAGACCTCGGGCAAGTTGCTGTCGCACACTCCAGCTCTGAGGTTTACATAAGATTCTCCTCACTCCCTGAGGCAGTTTTCTCAGTCCTGTTTCTCGGGGTACCTTGTTTTTTTTAGATGCTTATGTTCAATTTCAAGCTGTTAAATTTTTACAATAATCCAGCAGCATCCTAAAGTTATTGGAGTTTTTTTTTTTCTCTCCCTCTCTTTTGATCCATCAGTTCTAGTTGAGCAGAATCAGATCAGTCACAGATGTTGCGCTCATCAGGGAAATGACCTGCCTCCGTCTCCAGCCAGAGGCAGTATAATTGTGACTCCGGAGATCTGAGCTGTGATCACTCTGGGCTGGAGCACCTGATGAACCTTGGCTTGTTCCTTCTGCCTGGTTGCTTTAATTCTGATTTCACACTCAAGATTTTTCTCAGTCAGAACGTCTGGCTGTTTTGGATTGATTAAGATGTGCGACATGCTGCAGCTTAACTTGAGATTTTCAGCAGATCCTCTGAGGTTCTTATTTTTTTTTTTTTTCCCCCTTCTTCCTCCAACACAAGAACAGTTCTGAGTGCAAACTAAAAACTAAACGCCCCCAGGCCTCTGCCTCCCAGACGGATAGCCGTCATGAAGTCACCAGGTCCTGTTGGGGTGGGCTGGGTACATGAATACCTCACAGTCATGCTGCTGATGTGTTGTGACCGTGACATTTCCTCTCTTCTCAGCAATACACGAGTTCCCCGACGACCTTTTCACCAACGACGAACGAAAGAGTGGAGCCGTCCTGCTGCACATCGCAGCGGTAAGGGAGCTCTCAGCCGACGGGAGGCATACGCACTCAGTGTTTCTTGCCGTTTAAGTATCCTTTATTGTCCTTTTGTTTTTAGTTTCTGTGCAGAAGTAGTGGGATTTAAAACGAATTGGAATAAACTGAATGAAATTACTTGGCCTAAAGTAAATTGTCTTGTTTTGCAAGCCCCAGTTTGCCGTGTGAACCTTTTTGAAACGGGCTTGATTTAATTTTGTCAAATCCACTTCAACACGGGCAAGATTATTCTAAGCTTCATGTCCAAACATTAGAACATAATGCAATCTACCATTTTCCTTAGATAAAAAAAATTACCAATTAAAGAGCTTTAGTAGAATGAAACTGTTTTTTTTTTTTAAATGCACAGTGCCTTGAGATGATGTGATGTGTATAGCAGACGGATTTGAATTTACTTTAAGTTTAACTCCTTTTAGGGTATGCATAACCTTAAGCATTTTGAGTTGTATTGTTTTTAAAACCATATTAAAGAAAGCATTGCCATTTATCAACAGAGGATTGAAAAATGTTTCATTTAGTTTTGAGGGTAAAAACCTGAGATGTAGAATATGTGACAGATCTCCAGCTCAACAAAGCTGAAATCTGCCGTTGCTGAAAAGTTGTCAGAGGCTCAGGCCTCTGAGAACAACTTTGCTTCCATTTTTAGATTAAATGCACTGGTCATTCTTCTGACTTGGTTTGATGTTGTACTGGCCTCACTGATCAGCAGGATAGCCCTGAGTGTGAAAGTTTGGAGTGCTGCAGTCCTGCAGTGCCCCCTGTGGACAGCATAGAGCAGAACATTGCTACGAGAGCTGATCAGCCTTGATGGTGTCACGACTGATCTATAATTTATAGATCTCTTCTCCGCTGCTGAAACGGGCTGAATCTCCCCCTTCCTTCTCACTGTGGGAGTATAAAGATCCTGTCAGTTTTTCTCATTGTAAGGGGAAATGTTACCACTGAACTGACACTGGAATTTAATGCAGGTAGTTTTTTTTTTTTTTATTGTAATCTTGTACCATGGTTTGTTGTTCCCCTTTCCTTGTCCTTTAGCAGCAGCACTAGCAGGCGGTTCTGATCTATATATATATATATATATATATATATATATATATATGTATGTATAATTCAGTTCAAGAAAAATGGATTCATACATGCATTTTCTATACCTTATATGGATTCATCCGACTTCTCCTTGCAGACTCTTTACATGTTTCTGGCACTCGCCATAATTTGTGATGAATACTTCGTGACGTCACTGGAGAAGATCTGTGAGGTACAGTGAGGGCTTTAATCCTTCCCCACCCCCCCACCCCTAAATATTGCGTAACAAATTCACGATACTTTTCATATTGCAGAAACTAGACCTCAGTGAAGATGTTGCTGGAGCTACCTTCATGGCAGCTGGCAGTTCTGCGCCAGAGCTCTTTGCATCTGTTATCGGTACTCGCACACACTCACACACAGATGCACACACACAGGTCGTGCATACAGACGGTCCCAGATGGTCTGTGTCACTGCTGGTTCTGAGACGCTCCCTCCCTGCGTGCAGGTGTCTTCATCACCCATGGAGACGTGGGGGTGGGGACCATCGTCGGCTCAGCAGTTTTTAACATCCTATGCATCATCGGTGTGTGTGGAATCTTCGCCGGACAGGTGCGTGAGTCAGAGCGAGGGACTTACTGCTGCGGCTGCATCATCTTGTTTATTTATAGACCGTAGAGCAGCACATGTGCTGCCCCACCCCACCCCCCTGCCGCCCTTTGAGGAGAAACAAAAGCTTCTGAAATTGAAGACTGATTTAGTCGTAGTTTGGCTTCAGAAGACGACAAAATGCCAACGTTTTAGTAACGAGAAATGGTTCTAGAGGGCAAAGATTGAAAGTTTTCTGCAATCGTTTCCATAATCGGTTCACATTTCATGCTTATATACATTTGACCCAAAAGCCTGAAATACTTCACACACCACTTAAAATCACTGATTTAACGTTACAATGTCTGCTAATGTGAACAGGCATCATTGGCGTGCTTTTCTTTTTTTAGGACGGTACTCTTGTAGATTACGACTGCAATTACCCAAGTTGCACTTTTAAAATAGAACTTACTTCCTAAATCTTCAAAGATTTAGGAAATAAAACTTTTGAATTTAAAGATTTGAATAAAAATTATAACTGGCAAACGGTAGCACTGTGATGAAAACGTGTTTTCTTGAGATTGGATGTCTTGACCTTCACAACTGCTCTTAAATTAAATGTTTGATTAGGCCAGAGGTTCCCAAACTGTGGGGCGCGCCCCCTAGGGGGGGCGCCGTGTCATTGCAGGGGGGGCGCGGGAAGCCGTCTGGATGAAAAAAAAACAAAACATGAACACTGTATGCGCTGGGTTTTTACCTTAGAATGGCCAACTCTCTGTTATTCCTGTCAATTTGATACAGTAGAGGCTTCCACACTTCCCATATTTGTGTCTTTTATCAGCAGTTAAAACTGTTTAATCCCTTGTTAACATGTTGTAACCTGTTTTTCCGAGCCGCCTTTAACATGAGCGCTACGACGCTCGCGCTGGGTTTCCACCTGTGAAGGAGACCTGCTGCTGCTGGGCGGAGCTACAGGTGTGTTAGAATCACGGCAGCAAACCAGCAAAACGCAAAGAACTTTTCAGTTTTTCCCTCCAAACTAACCGACTGAGTTGAGTAAAGCTGTTGGATTCAGGTAATGTTAGCTCAAAGATGACTAGCTAATATCAATACAGAACCTTAAGCTTGTTAACAAGTACCTTGTAGGCTACCGATGTTGGTGTCTATTTTCAGCTACGTACATTCATTTTGCCCCCCAAAAAGTCGATGTCCCCTGTCCCCCCCTCACCCGCGTCGTTTCAACCACAGTCATTTGTAATCCATAGGGGGGGCGCAGAAAATCTTTGGAAACCACTGTGGGGGCGCAGAACAAAAAGTTTGGGAACCACTGGATTAGGCATTTAGCCCTTCAGACCTCACGTTTTTTTCCCCCGTTATCTTTACTGTTTACATTTTCACTTCAGATTGTCGTCAAATAAATGCACTGTAAAACATCAAATTCATAATATTTGAATAAAATACTATCTGGAATTTGCAACGTCTTCATTTAGAAGGGCTTTGCTGCACGTAGTTGAAGCCTTTTGATAATTACACAATACATATAGATATTTTTTTTGGTTTTCTGAAATCAAACACTTACTACCATAACAAATGTTTCTACTTGTAAATTCTCAGGTGGTGGTGCTGACCTGGTGGGCTGTTTTCAGGGACTCCTTCTACTACATCCTATCTGTTGTAGCTTTGATTGCAGTAAGTTAACATTAGCAGTCGATACATGCGCATTTTTGTACTTGGATTTTAGATTATACTAATCTGTTTTTTTTTTTTCTCTGCAGTTCATCTATGACGAGAAGATAGTTTGGTGAGAATATTTTCCTATTCGGCTTTAAATGCAACGTATTCAGAGTTTAGTCCAGGTTCACTTGTATTCAACCAGTTGCTACACAAAAAATTCAAACAAGCCAACAACGTGATGCAGCTTTAGCTAAAATTTGACAAGCTACACCTGAAGGAGTTTAATTTAGTAGTTTAAGTGCTTCTGACACGGATCAATTTTACCTTAAAGTGCTGGGTGTTGCTCACCAAAACTGGAAGTATTTCTACTTATGAAAAACATAAACGGCCAAGTGTGTGAAGTATCAGCCTTTCACTGAGCTCACCAGTTGACAGGAACAGGTGGAACTCTGGTACTTTTACTACATACAAATTAAAAACTTGCTTTTACATGTTAAAGATATTGTAGAAATGACCATGTTAAGAATTTAACTCGGCTATATCTTGAGGCCAGGAACTCTTTTTGAAAAGATTCATCTTTTCAATATTCTATGTTGATTAGAATCTGTTTGAACCTTTTTTTTTTTAATTATTCTGTCCTACAGGTGGGAGAGTCTGGTGCTCGTCATCATGTATGCAGGCTACATCCTGATCATGAAGTGAGTTTTGCCCATTTTTACAAACGGTTTATTGGACTGATAAAGTTCTGCTTCACCCCTGTACACACTCATCTGTGAGCTGATGAGTATAAACGGCTGCGCTCTCACAAGAGGACAGTAATTTTTCCAGCTGGAGGGGAGTGTCCCCATTTCTGTCCCCTGCCCAGATGGCGCACATTTTCCTCTGTATGGATATGATATGCTGCTGCTTGCACTATAAAATTTTCTTTCTGTGTTTAAATCCTAATTTTAACTCTAACGCAGCAGCCATGTGTTGGCCTGCAGAGAACTTTTTTTTTTCTAAACATAGATCTATGCGTTTATGACCATAAGTGCACTCCATTAGGCCACATTTGTCTTTACAGTCCAGACTCAATAATACCAACCATGCTGTCCTGTGCTGCTGTCTCTGTCCAGCTGGTAATCTGCGCTACACTCAGCGGCAGCCTGCTCACTCGCTGCCATAAGAGTTTAATCTTTTTCCCTCTGCAGTGGCTAAGAGCACCAGGCTTAACCGGATCATTCCCCTCCTTTCTCATTTGGAGGAATAAATGCTTACAGTAGGACATGCTGTCATGTCTCCCTTAACCCAAAATATCTGCGGAGCATTTTGGGGCCGTTCAAGTCCAAATGGAGCAGAGTGCGTTTAGTGCGGACCGTCTGGGTCTCTGATTTGAGATGATACTCCGCCCCCTCCCTCGTCAAATGCGCCGAGATGAAAGCTGAAGTGGAAAAAATAAAAATGTTGCCATAAGTTATAAGCTGTACATCTCATCTCTTGAGCATTTTGTGTTTGTTCTCTAAATCTAATCCTGTAACTGACAAAATGCACTCGTAATACCATTATATGCACACTGACGTTGAGTCTTTAGGATCAAAACGAGGGATGACTGTGGCTGTTTTGGCAAACCTGAGGAGGGGGAAAAAATGCAGGAAAGATTTTCTTCTGCTTGGTTGACAGATTAACTTTATCAACCTTTTGTAGGAAGGAATTATTATTTTTTTAAAAAAGTCTAAATTTATCCTGCTCTTTTGGGTCACTTGCTGTTGTGCAAACAAGGCCTTTTGAATATGATGGCTTATATTTGGCATTAATGCTGCAGCACAGTATCATAACCAATTATACCAATTAGAATAGTTTCTTGCTGAAATCCACAGAATATATATCCTCTGCAATGTCTCTGTTCCTTGACCCATGATAAAAAAAAAAATAAAAAAAAACTTCACCATTATAAAATAACTTTGTATTATAATGAAGTGCTGGAGAGTCAATGCTCTGTTTTAGCTGGAGGGACAAAAGTCTGCATATTTTGGGTTTAGAGAATCCAAAATGCACAAGAACATTTCCACTGCTGGATACCTGAGTAATCTACAAAAGGTTGTCCTGTGCTTACTTGAAGGATGAGAGAGAAAAAATGACGGAGATTTACTTGTGATCATAGCCTTAAGAGCTTGAGAAGCCAAAGCGATTCAAGAATTCAAGATATTGATTCTTATGAAAAAAATCTCTCCTAAGCCACATATTGAAGTCTCACCTGGGCTAAAACAAGACTGGACTGCTGCTCAGGGCTCAAGTTATGTTTTAAGATTAATTAAAATCTTTCACTTAGAAATGAAAGTTCTAGAGAGTCTGGGGGGAAAAAGGCGAGGAGACACAGAACATTCTCAAGATCTAATGGAAATGTTCTAGTTGATGATTTGGAGATGAATGTCTGTTGGTGTACCTGGTGTTAGCCAACCAGGTTCAATACCTCTGCAACCCCAATGTGATAATTCATCCAAAAGTTGCCCTTATTACAGAATTTACAGTCCACACATGTTGTGGTTATTCCTTGGTTGTCACTTTTTCTTCCATTCAAATTTCCTTCAAAATGCTTGAAGACAGTAATTTGAACAGCAAACTTCTTTAGCAATTTGAGAACCTTCCTGTGCATCTTGGACCATTAAGAAACAAATGGAAAAGCAGGTTCAAGACCGTTTGGCAAATGAGCAAGTTCTTGGAAATTGACTTCATTTCAGGCATTTCAAGTGTTTAAGGTGTATGCAAATATTCACGTTTAACAGTAAAGCAACAGAAGTCATATGAACGATCTTTTCACATTGAATATGCACTGTGTAAAGTAAAAGTTTTCCCCAATGAATCAAAATTCAGTTTTAGGGGAAAAAACCTCAAACTGAATCTGGTTTCTTTGTTCTCCGCTCTTATCAGGTGTTTTTTTTTTTTTTTTTTTTTTAATAGTTGTAATGTTCTTTGAAGATGCTGAGGGCAGAGAACGGCTCTTTTAACACTCCAGCTATTACCTCTGCATACTTTATGTTCAAAGGCAGCTGTAGTTCCTTCAGTGTTTGATCCGTTTTTATGTAATGGCACTGAAATGGTCTCACTGAAAATGTGTGGCTAAGAGCCTTCGATTGCCTTTTGGGAACATTTCTTTTTGGCTTTCTTTTCTGCCTCAATACAGAGCATCAGAGCAGCGTAGCTCAGCCATTTTCCATAACATATTGTTAACGTGGCCTTGAAAATTGGGCCCTTGACAATTTTGCATAATGAAAAATAGACATTTTAAGACGCTGTTATGCTTCACCTGCCCAGCTTTTTTTTTATTTTAATTGGATATTTTTCCCCTCCTTCCTCCCTAGATTTAACTCCAGCATGCAGCGGTTTTTCATGGGGAAGTCTAACAAAAATGTGGCCAATGGTAACGCTGCAACCAGCAGCGAGATGGAGGACGGTAAAGCTTGTTTTGACTATGTTTGGGATGACGACCCGTCGTCACCTTTGCTCTCGGCAGGTAAGGTTAATCAGACAGGCTGGGTCCCAGCTGAGTGGTTGAGTCTGATTCTCTGGACGTCTGAAGACTACTAGCTGGATTTTTTTTCTTCTCCTGAAGGATCTGTGGCTTTGCTTTCTGCTAAACTAACACAGCCAGTGCCTTTTTTTTCCTTTTTAATGCTAATGACTTAATATGAATATTAGAAATGTTTTTTAAGGTAGAATGGTGTGATCTCGGATCCATCTTGATTTGTGTTAATAATCTTGGGTTAATTATCCAGTACAAACCTCAATGGGCGAGGCATCACTCATCAGGCTCATGATAAGCTTCCAAGCCACAGTCCTCTCTCTATTCTGCTCTTAATCTTTAAATAATAACCCATTTCAGACATGTAACTCTTCCAAGTCTAACTGCATTACTGCTAACATGCCTGTCTGTTTAGCCTTACTAAACCTACTCTCACTTTGTCAGTGTTGTGCCGCTCTGCCAGTTTTTCTGCTTGCATCCTGCTTTTCTCCTGCCAGTCTCTGGAGCGTAGACCTGCTCACTCCTGAAGTGGTAATGAATTTCGCAAGAGGAACTGTTTACACCAGCTCTGTTTACGCTGTTAATTTATGTGCATTGGTGCATGCATAAGTAGTCAAATTAAGGTTGGGTTGAACTAATAAGTGTTACTGCCTTATTCCCTGTGCGTGCAATCTAAAAGCTCCTTTTTTCAGCGAATGAAAAGATATGAAGTTTCACTTGAATTAATTACTTTTTTTAAGGATATGATCTAAAAGTCAAGTCAAACTTTCAGTGTTGCAAGTTTTGAAATCGGTTCCGTTTCTGTATTTATACAGCACATCAGTGAGCTGCCAACCAAACTATAGTACACAGGATTAAAATGTGCCAAAAACTTGATCAGCAGAGATCATCCTCACTGAAGAGCAGCTTGTCCTGATGAAATTTTGACTTCACTTAAACTTTTTTTTTTTTGTTTTAATTAAAATGTACAAGTTAAGCCTTGACAAATTGAAAGTTAAGTTTGACGCAATATGAATGCTAGCTACAATGTTCTTTTTGTTCCAGGTTTATAGCTAATATTTCTGGTATAAACTCCAATGTGATGAATTCTGTATTTTAGCCTAAGGTTCTGAAATGAATTGTCCATGGCCTTCGTTGAGTTCCTCATAGGTCTTGTCAAATTTAAGTTTGCATTTTGGGTGTAATATCTTCAAGTGTATAGGTTGTGTTTGCCTCACCAACGTCAATGTGTGCCTTCATCCCTTCAGTCAAGCCGAGCAAGGCTTACAGCCGCGGCTCAGTGGTGATGGTGGATGAGATGATGAATGCCAGCCCATCAAAGTTCCGCTTTCCTGAGGCGGGACTCCGTGTCATGGTCACCAGTCACTTCGGGCCCAAAACCCGCCTGCGCATGGCCAGTCGGCTCATCATTACAGAGGTACAGCGGGCCGTTGTTGCCGGATTCACTTTGGTGACTTTGAACAGAGAGCTTTCCTTGCCGTCCATATTTGTCTGCGGAAGGGAGCTCAGTTTGAAAATGTTTTGTAGCAGCAGGTCTGCCTGTGTGCCCTTTGACTTAGTTTCTTTTTTCTGAAAGCGCCAGAAGTTGGTGCAGGCGTCCAATGGTGTGGAGACGCAAGTGATTGACGGGAAGGTGGAAATCGAGAACGGAAACGTACCAGAGGACAAACCCAAGGAGGCAGAAGAAAATGACACAATTTCACCGTTTCATATTCCAAGTATGTGATTTATAAACTTGCATAAACGTCTGATCTAGTATCTGTTGAGATGGTGTTAAAGATCTAATTTGTATGTTCATAATTTAAGATGGTTATATATTCTGAGGCGGTGATATAAATAAGTTATTGAAGTTCTTAGTTGGACATCTTGAATTGTTTTGCTGGCGTCTCTTAAAATGAGTTTGTGCCGTCTGATGTATGAACTAATGATCATCAGATGGCTAAAAGCAAGGCTGCCCTTCTGTCTCTACTGATGTGAAGAGGGTCCAATTTATCATTAAACTGTCATTAGTGTTTATGCACTTCAAATGAAGTGAAAAGGGGAAATGATTGCTTCCGTTTTAAAAATTTTAAGGAGATGGTGTGTCATATTTTAAACTCAATACTCAAATATTTTGGTCATCCTATTTTTTAATTTTTTTTTTTTCCATCTAAATGCATTCAAATTGGAAATTATTCACACTTAATCAGAAATGTTTCCGGTCAGGGAGAAGGCAAAACTGGAATAAAATATTTCACTTTGTATATTTAATGTAATGTTGTCTTGGCAGTCATTAATGGTTCCAATGTTTTCAAGTTGACTTTAATCTTCTGCTTCTGGATGTCAGTCCTTCTTACCTTCCGTCTTCCTCCTGCAGGGGGCATGGGCAGCAAGATCAAGTGGCTGATCTCATGGCCGCTGCTCCTGCTGCTGTTCTTCACTGTCCCGAACTGTGCCAAGCCTCGCTGGGAGAAATGCTTCATGGTCTCCTTCATTCTGTCCACTGTCTGGATTGCAGTCTTCTCGTACTTGATGGTCTGGATGGTGAGTTTATTTTACTGTGATTCTGCTGCGGTGGAATTGATTTCTGAATAAAACCTGATGTTGAGTATGCAAATGTTTAAAACTGTCGGCAAACTGGTGTCTTGATTTCTGTTGCATAAAGTGTCTTTTAAACATGTGGCACTGAACTTTTCTGCCTATATTGATACCTATAGAAATGCTCCCAATCTAAATTTATGGCATTTACCTTAAGAAAAGCTACATCAGTAAGACGATGAGTATTTTCTTATAAATTCATGTTTTATTTCTCTGAAAAATTGTGACCCATTCTGCACAATATTTCTTCGCCATTTTAAGTGTGAATAAATATGGAGGGGTGTCCCAATTTCTCATTTGAAACTTATTGCAGCTTCTGAAAATTTTTGTTTCATTCCCTGATTGTTTAAAATAGTTACAAACTGGCTAGGAAGGAGTTATGTAATTTATTTACACCATTTAAATGAAATGCAGAAATCTGTTTCCACTGTTGGATAAATGAGTAAAAGGGTAATTCTATTGGAAGCTTCAGCAGTAATAAAGTGTAGCAACAGTATTTGGGGACACCGTTTCTTGAAAGGTAATTTACTTCAACATTGATTTAAGTATATTGGGTCTGTTGTCACCTTAAGTTACAAGCAACACAAATTTTGATTAAGACAATCAATCAAATGCTGAAATCATGCTAAAGATTTATTCTCTTAAAGCTGTTTACATTAAGGATCCACTCGAACCCTTTTGGTAGGAACCTGCAGATAACCTGGCCTTATCTGTGCTTCCTCAGGTCACTATAATCGGCTACACCTTGGGCATCCCGGATGTTATCATGGGCATCACGTTCCTGGCTGCTGGCACGAGCGTTCCAGACTGCATAGCCAGTCTCATTGTGGCACGGCAAGGTATTGCTTTACCTTCTGGGAAGATGCAATTTACTTTTAGAAGATATTCTCAGGTTTGCTGCTGCAGGAACGGAGATCTCTTTTCATAAATGGGAAGGCTGATTAGAGGTGTGGCGGGTGTTGGGTTATTTGGTTCAATGGAAACTCGGATGTTTAATGACTGGCCATCGATTTTTAACGTTTTTGGATCTGTTCTTGGGGAATTGAAATTTTAACCAGTTAATGGCATGTCAAGGGTGTTATCTGATGCAAAAATTGTTCCAGAAGATTTTATGATTAACTTTCTTTTCTTTCACTTTCAACCTATTTGGTAAAAAAAAAAACTATAAATTTTTACTTGAATGACAGGGAAAAAAGCCTTGGACTGCCTAGAGGATATTCTTTTCATGGTGTCGTCTTAACATTGAGAAATAAGTTTTTATTCATAATTATACTTTTGCCATGATCTATGTATATAAAAAGACTTCACTCTAAAAGAAAGCTTTGATCTGTGCTGTAATTTTTTATTTCAGGTTTGGGAGATATGGCAGTGTCTAATACAATTGGCAGTAATGTCTTTGACATCTTGGTGGGACTCGGAGTTCCCTGGGCGTTGCAGACGATGTGTGTGAACTATGGATCAGAGGTTGGTTCACATCTGGTCAAGAGTACAGTTTTTGATCAGTTTATACAGGAATGTAATTAACAGAGACTGAGGATCTATAAGCCAGCTACTCGTCTTTTGTTCCAGGTGATGATCAACAGTCGGGGACTGGTGTATTCAGTGGTACTTTTGCTGGGATCTGTGGCACTCACGGTGAGCATTAAATGCTAATCGCACATCAAGTCAGACAATTTTTGCTTTGAAAAGAACTTTAGGGGTTATACGTAGTTTTGCTCAGCATTTCAGATGTTGTCCCACCACAATTAATTTCTATGTATTTTGAGGTTTATGTCGACGCTCAACAACGTACTGCTGAATTGTCTTGGAAGGGGAGGATGTGTGGTTTTTTTCTTTTGTATACAGTGTCAGCCTGACTTTTTGCCCATTTGAAGTTGTGCAGATCTTTGTTTGCCTTTCTATATGTGCAGGTGTTGGGCATCCACATGAACAAGTGGCAGCTGGATCTCAAGCTGGGCATCTATGTCCTTGTCTTGTATGCCGTGTTCCTCTGCTTCTCAATCCTGATCGAGTACAACGTCTTCACCTTTGTCAACTTGCCCATGTGCATGGAGGATTAGAGCGCAGCAGCATGCAACGATTACCAAAACCTCAAAAACCCACTTTGGCAACCTGTTTTTTTTTTTTTTTTTCAATAAACTGGACCTATCTGGCGACTTTGTTTCCCCCCCCCCCTTTGCTTGCAGTCTTTATTTGTAAGTGTTGAATAGAAATCTAATTTTCCTATAAGGCAGTGCTTTGTAGCTGTGAACTGTCTCCAAATTATCCAGCCATCGCACAGCACTGGTCCTTTTTGCTTATTCTTCCAGGCATTGCCGTCAGCGTCATGGTTTCTCTGTACGCCTGCTAACTTTCCACCCATCAAGCATGCCTTTAGATGTCGTGGACCTCCAGAATCAGAAGTGCCCCTTTTTGATTTCACCGTTCTCACTTTAGAGTTTTCAGATCAGAACAATCTGTTCCCACATCGAGCACTTACTAAACCCAAACTTTATTAAATGTAAAGCCATTCTTGAACGATTCGTGAAATTACTACGGTCAGGATTTTTTCCCCCCCCTCAAACCAAGAAAAGAGGGAAGAAGGTCCTGCACTGGCATCTCTCCTCCTTTAGCTCGGACCCCCCCCCCACCCCCAGCATGGCTTTAGGCAACAGGGAGCTGATGCTGTTAGTGCTTTACTCCACCCCAACCCTCGCCTGCGTTCCTAATCTGCTTTCCTAAAGATCTTTTTGTCAGGACACTTTAATTCAACATGTATCGCAGTCCAGATCTAGTGACTGTGATGGTGTTATGCATCTGCACCAGTGCACAATGTAAATTTGTAAACACTTTTTTTGTATTTATTTTTTCAAAAAAGAGAAGGTTTTGTCTAGTTTGAAATATAGAAACGAGCTTGTTGCAAATGTCAGACATCGTTTCTTTCACTGAAAGCTAATTGCACATTGAAAATGCTTTTCTTGCTCTGTGTTGAGACTGAAACCTCTGATGTGAGGTGTAACCTGGCTGATGACAGCCCAGCCTTTCTGTTTGTCCTTCTGCACAAATCAAGATTGGGAGGGGAAAAAAAATCTCAATCCGTCTGATGCATCTTTTAGTCTTCATCAAATGATTCTCATTCAAAGATGGCTGCAGAAGGATGGTAGTTGTGCTTGTTGCAGTGATGCACTCTGGCCTGTAGGGGCCACTGCAGCCCCTCTATTAGTCCAGAGCGGGCAATCAGTTCCACCAGTTATCAGGGAAACTAAGATGGACAGCTCCTGGAGACGGAGATGATCTTGCTTTTCTTTTTTTTTCTTGCGTTGTATGTAGATATTGCACTTTAACAGCCGTCCTCTCATTCTGAATCAACTAGTGCTTCCTTCTGTGCGTTTGTACTTTCAGTGTATACATGTCTGTGTGACTGTGTGTGTGAAAGGGAAACTGTGTGTGTGTGTACGTGCTCATTCTGGGCTCGCGTCAACTTTCTCAAACTGACTGGAACCTCTAACAATTTGAGCACACCTGTATCTGTCTGCAGTGCATGCTGGGACACGAAAACGAAGCTCCTCCACAGCACAGCAAAAGGTCGAGGGCTTCCGGGCAGTTTCTATGGCTACTGCCTGGCCCACTTTACAAAAAAAAATGGCAGCTAAGAGCACTGCAACCCAGACAATTTTGACACGATGCAAAAATGCCTGTAAAGAGTCCAGGAGTGGGGGGTGCAGAGACTATTAAAGTGTACGTGTGTATGAAATGTGTGTTGAATAATCCTCCTCAGCCACATTGTTGGCGGAGGGCACTTGTATATGCAATTTAAATGTAAAGAATTTATGTGACAAAGGCCCCTGCAAGGTTGCCATATAATGATGGGGCATCCTGTGGAGATTTGATGTCAGTTTGTCTAGTATTCCTTAATGTGTGAGCTCACAGGTGTGTGTGTGAAAGCTGGAGAACTGTACACCGAAAATGGACATGTCTGGAGCAGTGGCTTTGTGGAAACGCTCATCTTCTCCTGCTTTTTATTTAGTTTTCCTTCCAGTGGCTTTCCACTCTGGTACCAGGGCATTAACTCCTCGCCAGCCCCAGCGGAAGGAGCAGCGGGGCAGGATGCGGAACGCATTTGGCTGCCCCCAGGACTCTTTATTGTACATGGCAGACTAAGGAAAATACAAAATACTGGACCCCTCCTTAGACTGCCTATCTGCTGGGGTTCATGTGGCTTTGTGACCCCACAGGGCCTACAAACTCCTACTCCTCTGTACAAGACCTCCGGAGCTTAATTTATTTTTTAATGCTTTCTCAGACTGCATGGCGGTGCCGTCAGAGTTGATCTGAATTGTGTTGCTCTATTTGATTATGTACCGATTGTCAGGACAGAGCAGTAATGGTTTAAGAACTTTTTTTTTTGTTTTGTTTTTTTTTAGTTTTGTCCTAACTTAATGTTTTAACTGGCTGGCATTTTTGCTCCAAAGTCAATTGTATTGGGGAGAGAAGGTCAAAAGAAAGTTGGATGTCATGTTTGTAACTTTGCATAAACCAAGATTGTACGAACATGTGTACAAAATACGCCCACGCACTTGAGGAAGCACATTAGAGAAGGCAATTTGACACTAGAGGACTGGTATCTATTGACTGAATGCGACCTAATGCACTGTGAGCTCAATGTGATGTGGGAGTTGTCAAGAAAAAAAAAGATAAATATATTTAATGTAAAGTTAGTTACTATTAAAATATTACTGAGGACATCTGTATAACTTATATGAATGTATTGTCTTGCTATACTGGACATATCCAACCAATGCATTTTACTGTAAAGCAATAATGTGAAGAAAAAAATAAAATGACAAAATGACTCCTATACATTTCTCACAATTTGCCTTACATTCCGGGATTGTCAATGTAACTATTAAGGTGTTTGGTTTTTTTGTTGGCTATATTGGAAAATTCAGATTTGAGTGGGGCTTTTGTTTTCTAAGAGTTGACACTTAATTTTAAGTGCTTGTGCCACTTTGGAATAATAGGATGCTTTGTGGGGTGGAAGCTTGGCTGGAGACTGCAGCTCTGAGGAGGCACATTGAGAGAGCAAGCCTTTAGGACCCCTGATTGCTCAGACATGCATGAAGGAATCAAACACTCCAGGTACGTTTCTGATGAGGGGATAACATGGCATGATATGAAGCTCGGTCGATTTTGCATAATCCTTCCCCTCCAAGTTCTGATAAAGGAAGTAACGATTAATCCACATCCATGATGTACAAAGTTTCCAAGAAAAATCAGCTACTCCTCACTCAAGTACAACCATTCAACATTAGCAAACCTTTAAAAGTAAATGAGCGTCTGATTGCCTAAAATGCTGCACTGCTCCTTGTGCATGCAAATTCTCTTGCGATTTAGTTTAATGAATATTTTAATTGGCTACAACTAACGCCACTGGAGGACAACTTCAGACTTGCTGACTCAAACTGTTCTTGATGCGAGCAATTTGAAATACGTAATGGATCTTCCTTGATGAGAAAGCCTCGAGGTAAAAATGAGTTGGATGTACTCATGCTTGCATTTATGTAATATCTATAATTTGAATATTTCTATTGCAACTGACTGGAAATTCAGTTCCCCCCCCCCCTTTTTTAAGTTATGTAATAAAATAAGCTATTTGCATGACAATATTTACAAATCTGTTTTTGAGGTCTACGTGAAAGACATTTGGCTTAACGGCTACAGTAGCCGTTTATAATGGGGTGGGGGGAATTTGTTTGCAAAGCTAAAGTCCAGTTGTAACATTTAGGGGCTTTTTTTTTCTCACTCCGTGAAGCAATCTGGACACTTTTTTCACCCAGCAGGGGGCAATGTTGCAGCATGTTTCATTTGTCTTCAACGAACTTTGGAGCTGAAAATGGAGCTCATGTACCTCAGAGTATGAATCCTCCACTGTGATGTAAAGTTAAAGTGCAACTAAAATGAAAACAGACAACTGGAGTGGTTCTTTTTTTACATGATTTCATCTGCACAAAGTGTGCCAAACATGATCTGCTAATAATGGCTGCTCACGTCCTTCATCAGCCAGACAGGCAGCCATCTGGTGAGACCAGCCTGGTCTGTGCCGGCTACTGGTGCTTCTCCTTAATGAGCCACCCTCTTGGCTAGCTTTGCTGAAGTTAACAAGCCTCGCTGTCAGCCGTGATCTCTTGCACTGACGAGTTCCCTTTCTGCCCCCTAACAAGCCTGTTTGGGCGGTAACTGCTCGTCTCCTGTGAACGCTGGCCCGGCTCCCACATTTGTTGTACCACTTTTAGAGGCAAGGCCCACGCATGCCGGTCTTGACGTATCCAGTTGCAGAATTCCACTTTCAAAAGTTGTTTATCTTTTCACCCACCGCCTCCACAGTTATATAGTTTGGGGATATTTTTTTTCCTTATTTGTGTGTTGCCAGTATTTTTGACAACTACTTCGCTGTTTGGGTAAATTGCTGTGCTTCAGTGATGGATGATGGGGAAACTGACTTGCTGCAGTCCTTGTGCATGTGTTTTGGATTGCCCTCAGCTCTCCATAGGACAAAGTTTGTATTTTCGCCATTAGGTAGTAAATAGGTTTTATGTTGCAAAGTTCTTCTGCCTCTCAGCATCCCAAATAACACTTTTGTTCATGGTGCCGTTTTCTGGCTCAATGTGTAACCCAAAGCACATACTAAAAAATAAAATATGGAGTGTTGTTCACCCAAGTCTAGAAACTGACCTGGAGATAATTTTCTGAAAGGCATTGTTGAAAGAAATCGCCAATAATTGCAACTTGTGTGCCACAAGCCAGAGGCCACAGACGTGTGGAGGTTGAATGTATTTTCTATTTTTTGGAGTGTGTGGTGAGAAAAGTAATGCTGCACACCACCCTGAACAACCGGAAAAACAGCAGCAAAGATACAGAGTAATCCTGGAAAAAATGTTAGAACCTGCAAAAGACTTGGCTGGGTCAGAGTCACCATGCAGAAAGACGGCAACTCTAAATACAGCCAGAGTTGAGATGCTTTTAGATCAAAGGGTCTTGAACAGCTCAGCCCGTCTAGACCTAAATTCATCCGAATCCCAATAAAATATATCCAAGTTTCTAGTTGTATCAAATTGCTAAACTATGAAAATGATTCCCATGAAAAAGTATGTTACAAGAATTTAAGCTTGCTATGCTCTTATCTCACGCTCTATTAATGTCTTTGACAAACAACTATTTCTAATGTAGTCAAATAAGTATAGGAAAAAAATGGTTGACTTTAAAATAATTCCTTTTTTTGAGAAGTTTTTTTTTTAACCTAAACTTAAATCTGAACTAGTTGAAGAATCTCAAGACTCCAAAGATGGCGATAATATCCACTCTCAATGCCTTCTTAAGTTTATCAGGTTATTCACCAGAATCCTTGATTTTCCTCATCTTTCTGTGAAAACACCTACAACCATGAAATGCACTGGGTCCATTTATCATAAAACCTTTTCACAAAAAGCCCTAAGCGATGGATTTCTGCTGTTTTCCATTATCCCCTCACAACCTTCGTGGTATTTTAACAACTTGCACAGCAACAGTAAAACAAGTAGAAATGAATCCAAAGGGAATTAGCCTGAATCACAATGACATTTACATTATCAGAGCTGCAACCTGTGAACACTAGTTCCTTTTTTTTTTTGCATACCTTTTTAATGAAGTCACATACACAAAAAGCTGCTAACCCAAAGGTATTCCACACCGAACTGTGCATCTTTCAGTCACAATGCTCTCTCAGCTTTGAATTCTGCTTATCTTTTTATGAAAGCTTCCACAGCTGTGGATTGTAGATCAGCGATTAATCCATAATTCACAGTCCATGAAGGCAGCACAACACCTTATCAATGCGTTTATGAATACCAAATAGTCATCCATGGTGAATTTAGGAGAGTGCAATAAAAACAGATGGTTGTGATAAAAACGTACCAAAAAAAAAACGAAAGCCCTGATTTATTTTAATCAAGGTTATTTGCATTTTGAGAGCATTTTCTGTGCTCTTAAAACTTTCACTAAAAAAGACAATTTAAGCTCTCTTCTGGTGGTATCTGACAGAGGAAGTGAGGTGCTGTTTGGTTACACAAATTATAAACAAGTTTAAGGCAAGTGCTTAAATGCCAATTTCTGTTTAAAGTAGCATAGCTACACCATGAATGAAATCAGGATGATTTTGCTGATATTTCTGTTTTAATATGTCAGAGCAATTATTTTACTCTTCTATACTTTCCAATAAATTGCTTTGACACACTGAAGTAACATTGCTACCAAAAACATTGACCTTGCCAGGGATGTTTGCCTGCCATCACTTTGAACAAAACTGCATGTTGTAATCACTGCGCCCATCTGTTCTTTTGGTCAAATGTTCATTTTTTTTCTATCGTTTTTCAGGAACGCCATTTGTCTGACAATAATATTAAAGAACTTTCAAAAGTCAGCATTCCAATCAGTAACCAGTTATTTTAATTTTATGCAAAATTTTGATCAACATTTGTATTTTACTGTTCTTATAGTTCCCTACTCTTGTTCACTTGTCAACAGATGTTTCCCCAATGCACATTAAAATGCCATTGCTCGTCATGTCATGTAGATTTCTACTGAGGGAAAAATATGCATA